TCGTTCACTCTATCCTTAGTTTGTTGCTCCTTGTTAGTGGTTACTAGACCTTTCTTTACATAAATTGTTGATTCTGTATGTTTTCCTGAGCAGGTGAAGCCTTCAAGAAGAGCACAAAGTGGGCGCCCCATGCTAGTGAAAACTTTTCATAAAGGTTAGAGACATGACAGAATAAGTTTGTGCGTTTTGGTTCTTTACATAACTGATTTGCCATGTATCTTGTATGCAGATAATGGAAATCAAGGTGCATTTGCTACTTCCAATAGAGCACAACCATTTGATTTCCCTGCGGTCAAATGTACTGCATGTGGTAGTCTGAAGTGCCAATGCAGCCTCAGATGTTCTGTTAAGCCATCTTCCAATGGTGAGTTAAATTCTTAAAACAACTTGTTAATCTGTTGCATCTGTGTTCCTGTCAACTAATTTGGAGTATATTGCATCCTGTTTCAGATTTTTCTTCAAAAAGATTATGTGATCGTGATCACTCTGGTGATTCTAAACATGTAAGTTTTAGACTCTTCTCCTTTCACCAAATAATTTGTTTTTTTAAATATATGGTGGTACTTTTTGTTGATCTTAACTGTGTCTATTTACACCAGGATTGTGGGGTTAAATATCCTTCGACATCTGAAACAAGAGGATTACAGCTGGATTCATATGGTGAGAGCAATAGCTGTTGCCTTTATGTTTACAATTGTGTAGCTTGTTTTTTTTGATTATTTGAGATTTGACATGCCATTGTCAATGAATTTTAGGGCTTGAATGTGTTCCCAATGAAGACAATTTTCAGCAAAGAGTCTCTTCCCCGGCCACAACTGCTGCAATTGATAAAGGTAACTATTATCTAGATATGGAAGTGCATTTTTTAGTTTCTTTGTGGAAGACCATAGCTCAGTGTCCATATGTATTCTGACTTTTACGGTATAAGTATTTCATTAGTATATCTTTTCATTTCGGAATATTGTGTTTACACTGGATGTTTGACCTTCTGCAGAGAAGGCTAGGATTACAGTTGAAAATAAAACTGCTGTAGCAGCCTCCCGAATGAGGGTAGAGACAGAGTTGAGGACGCAACGTGAGAGGGAAAGAAAAGCAGCCAGAATTGCATTAGAAAAGGTCCCTTTTTTAAATTCATTTTTGTATTTCTTGATCCTGTGTGATTCCTGTTATGATTTGCCTCGTAGATACTAAAGAAATTTAAATTTACTGACGTTTGTTTCACTCTTATTTAGATGGGAAAAACAGTCTATTTCAACGAGAATCAAGTTATTATGGAGTTTGAAGCAATAATTGGAGGCATCACAGTGTAACTCTCTGGAACAGCTTGGGTTGTACATAAAGGATGATCACATGGAAGAAGATGAAGTGGAGGCAATTCTGGAAGGAGAAGAGGGGAAAATTCTTTCGTAATCCTAGCTGCATATATGTGTAGTTTGAGGTGTTAATTGTAAATTAGTATTCTTTTTGTGGGCTGTTAGGGAACGAAAGGCAAGATCTCTAATTAGTCAAATGAACATTGTAAGTACAACTTGTGCATATTTTTTGTAGATGCAGTCAAACGAAGATTTAATACAGCTTGTGAATAATTTTTTGTGTATTTAGTATTTGTCTTGTAAATCAAGTATGTCCAGCATGGTGCTGCCATTGGATTGAAATTGGGATGCGTATCATAATAACTCAGAATGCAGCAATTTTTTGAGTTTCTGGCTTGCATATCCTATGAAGAGGTTGTGAAAAGGAGAGAGCAACTTATACGTGTACCAAGGATTGAAAAATCAATGTTATGTCCGTAAGATGGTAACTCCTTTTTTTTTTTTTTTTTTTTTTTTTTTTTTTTTTTTTTTTTTAAAATCAGATCGAATTGCTCGTTTGAACTTAATGGACTTTGATACAATGTTAAAATCTGGAGTTTCATCTTAGTTGGTTTTTGTAATTGACCCCCCAACTTCCTTGAAGGAGATTGTCGGTCCTCCTATTGTTGCCTAGATGTTTTATTTTCTAAAAAAATTGAATATTCTAAAACTCATTTTCCCTCAAATTTTTGTTAAAATGGAGCCCAAACAAGGGCGTGGAGTTGGTGCACGGAGCCCATCAAAATAATAACAAAGAGCCATAAAAGGTTGAATTAGACGTTCTTCCTCTTTATGATTACCATATGGTTGAAATGTTGGTGTAGAACAGATTGTAGAATGGATTGAAGAATAATTGGATTGAAATGGGAAAAATGTAATAGTGCGATGCGAGCATTTGAACTTCGGTTTGGATTTATAATACTATTCCAAAAAGAGAATAACAAGATAAGTAGAACACACTATCTCACCGTGACATGTAATGAATTTTGGCAATTCAAGTTCATTTAGGACTCGAACATTGCATTTAAAGCTTTAGTGCTATTTTTGTCATTTAGTTTATATTAAATTCTTTTCAATTTTAATTTGTTTAGATTATGTTTTTATGTAAATCCTTATAAATAAAGGGTTAATTGATTGTTTTTTATCATTTTACACTATGGCCCTGTTTGATCAGGGGTGAATTCCATGGAAAATGAAAATGTTTTCTATTTTCCAACTTTTTTGGTGTTTGATTGCATTTTATTTTATATGGAATTCATTTTCCTTGTTTTCCTCATACATGTGCCATTTCCTTATTTTGGTGGAAAATGGTGAGAATTGGCTTTCCACCTTCTTCTTTCTTTTTTTTTTTTTTTCCTTTTCTTTTTGGGCAATGGGAGCAATTTTTAGGAGCAATTGTAAAAAAGAATATCGCTTAAATTAATAATTTTCATGTAAAATAAAGTCAAACGAATATCAAAATATAGATGATTTTTGAAATTTTTTTTTGAAATAAATTCTAGGAACAATTGTAGAAGTGGATATCTCTTAAATTGAAAATTTTCATGAAAAACAAAGTCAAACGAACACCAAAAGATACTTTAATTTTAGCATTTTTTAGGTGAAAAACTATACTAATCAAATACTATTAATTGACAATTCTCACTAAAACAAATTCTAAACAATTTAATTCCCTTCAATTCTTTTTCTTTTCGTCTAAATTTTATCTTTGTAATCAAATGGATCTAATAAAATTTCGTGAGTTTATTTTTGTCATAATTAAGCATCACTTTGCCTTTCAAAAAATTTTCATTACGCAACTCCAAAATCGAAAATCAGTGAGTTTTGCCTTTTAACCTCGCACAAATAGATTTTCTTCATTAAATACCCTCCATTGCATCATGGCATCGGATGATTATTAAAAAAAAGACAATTAAAAGAGGGTTTAGATTTAATGAGGACAAATGGTATGGAAGACGTTTTTACAATATTACAAGACAATGACTATGCTGTCCCTATGAATGATACAAAATAATAATGAATGATTTCTAGATTTCTTCAAGTATTTTGCCTTTGTCTGCATTTCATGCTTGTCTTAGAATTTTACTTCTCAAAAAATGAGTGATGAATAAGTGGGTAGCATCATTTTCAGAATTCAAAGACAACAATAATTTAGAAAAGAAAAAGGAGGAGTGGTATGAAGATAAAATATAGTAAGAAGGTCTATGGATGAGTCGACTTACAACAATAGGAGATAAACTCAAAATTACCGTCAAGGAATATAGTAAGAAGGTCTATGGATGAGTCGAGTTACAACAATAGGAGATAAACTCAAAATTACCGTCAAGGGGATCAGATAGCTAAAGTTTATGACGACACGGCATATAATACTTTCTCAACGAAAGAGTATGAAGCTCATCAAGCTAGACCGTATGAAATGGATTATGATGATGAATACGTACTCTTTTTTAGGGAAATCAAGGAGGTACCAATCTCGGATAATTTCATTTGTCATGTAATGGACAATATAATGGAAAAAGGATCCTATGTAAAGTCTATTCGAGTACATGATGAAATGGAAATTGAAAAAGGCAGGCCCCGGTGAAGTGCCGATAGGATTTATTAAAAGATGGCCACAATGGAAACAAGCTTTCTTGGGAACATTCACTGGACAGCCATACGATTGAATGACATGTGATATGAAGAAGGAGAGACTCTAAAGAGTTATTTTACACGATTTAATGTCGAATTGATAGCTCGCGAGACTATATCGAAAGAGAAAGCTAGAGATGCCTAGTGGAATGGTCTGATAATGGAGACTCCCTTCTAGAGGGACGTTTGCAACTAAAATCCTACTTCCTATTATTAGTTGGTGAACTTGATCCAGAGTGAAATCCCAACGGATGATACTATCGCCAACCGAAAAAAGATAAACAAGTGCAAATGAAAAAGTTCAAAGGTAAAACCTCCACCCATTATTTTAAACTGCCAGAACAACAATATTTACATTTTGTAGAGCCCAAGGTTAGGGTCCACACAATATCCTCAACCCTTGCACCTATTGCAAGTGAAAAGCGTCATTTCCCTATGAGCTAGAAGATGAAATTTTGCAAGATTCATCGTTCCAGGGATCACAATATAGTTAAGAATGATAGAGCCGCAAATTTTACAAGGAATGATCGAAGGAAAAAGACCAACTTACACATCAAGAGGATGAGATTTGGGAAGCAGAACAAGGCACGATGAACTAAATCCAGTTCCAGCAGATACTCCTAGCTATCTATCCCAGATCAAGAAGATCAACACTATCATCGAAGGTCCGTATATTGTTGAAGATACAATGAATGAGCAAAGGAACTACGCTCATATTGCCAGAAAAACCGTATGGGAGATATTTTGGATTTGAGGTAGTTTCTCTTCCTATTACCTTTAATAGTAATGACGAAAACAGAGTCATATATCCCTTAGTGCGATGCATTGATAGTTTGAACTGTAATAGCTCGAAACAACTTAACCCACATGATGGTAGAGAATGGTAGTTCTATTAATATTCTATTTGTGAGTGCTTTTGATAAATGCAGGTTGATCGTCCTTCGATACCATGGCCAAACCCATATATGGTTTCACAAGGGAGAATTTGATTCCAAGGAGACAATTTACCATGATAGTTGAGCTCGATGAGGAGCCAATTGCATTTCAAGGAAATATTGACTTCTTAATCATGGATAGTAAATTTGCTTGCAATAGGATCTTGGGAAGAATCTCTTTGAAGCAACTGAAAGATGTAACTTATATCAACCACCTGTGCATAAAATTTGAAACTTCCCGAGTCATAGCCTACAAGAGAAACCAAGCTGCCATGAACAAACACAGTTCCAAAACCCTTAAAGTGTGGTACTATATTTATAGTCAAACAGAACAAAAACATGCTTGAAAATCCTTTTATAAGGAAGCAAGTATTCAACACTGCAAAGGATAGGTTAAAAGACTTGCCCACCAGTAAATAATTTCTCGAGTGCTAAAGGAAGCATGAGTTTTGAAACATAAGACCAATTTTGAACCTAGTATAGAGTTCAAAGAAATGAGAGGAATAAGGGCGAGCTTTAGCCTGCTAAAGAAATTTCAATCAAGAAGCGAACCCCTATCCTACTAAAGAAATTTCAATTGAAGACGGGGACTAGTTTCCACCTCAAAGGATATTGTTGTCAAAGAACAAGATCTCGTCCATGCAAACTCAAATATCATGACATATTGTAATAATGGACAAAGTACTTATAATAGGGGAGATGACAACAATTTGCATCCCCCTATGTTGTAACGATGATTTAATGAAGTTTTATTTGGAGAGCAGTGTTGTTAGAATAAGAAAATCAACTCAAGAACTATAGATTATGTGGTTGGTATGAAATTATTATAAATGCTTTTATGTGAAGCACAATTAGATAGCAAATAAGCAATACAACGCAATCCCAAAAAGATGGCCAAATAAATCAATTTATAGAACATGAAAAATGATATTTCAATAATGAATAGTCAGAATAGCATTTTTATACAAATTAGAATTAACTGTCATAAATACAACAAAAAAAGGAGATAGGGAGATCAAAAGCAAACTATCCCTCTAAATTGAGAAAGAGATGGAGATTATTAAAAGTATGATCATCTTGGCCAAGCGAAATGTTACCCTCCAAGTGCACACTTTCTACGGAGGAGGGGAAGCCTTAGTGGAAGCATCGACTTGCTATCTGTGCAAGCGGCTTTGCAAGGAGAAACAATAGCAATATCTGCAAGCTAGATAGGTTCAACAAGAACGGGTAGAGTATTAGAAGCCATGGTGGCTGACACAGTGTCTTCATCGAGAGAGATTTCCTTGGCATCCCTTCACGAGCCTCCAAAAAACTCAAATCCCACTCAATGAAAATCCTTAACAATGTCAAGAACCTTGTGGCCCCCATCCTATATGGTATCCTCCATAAGCTTCAGCTCGTTAGCCTTCATTTCGGAGAGGCCACACTCCACGAGAGCCAGTTTTGTCTCGATATTCACCAACTGGATGAGAAATAAGGCTTTCTCACTCCTCGCTTAAACTAAATCTCTGGAGATGGCAATTTTTTCAGCCTAAATAGACTGAAGTTCTTCTCTGAGGCGTAAAAGCTGAGCATCAGTCTTGCGAATGTAAGAGGCATGATTCTCTCTAGCCTACTTTAGGTCCTTAGTGATCCTGGTAAGATCAGTCAATAAAGAAGCTTCCTTTATAGCCAGTGCCTCAGAGTCCTTGCTCATTTCCTTGTATTTATTTTTCTCTATCTCAACCTCCCTTAGCCTCTTTTGGAGAGCTTCAGATTTCTTCTCCAAAGGATA